CGGTGGCTCGCATCGTGTAGTTCCTGCTGCTCCTTCTGGTGAGGCTTGAGGCAGGAGGCTCCCTTGAGCCGCCTGAGCAAAGGCACCGGCCCACGCACGTGGGCTGTCATCACTCATCAATACATCGTTCCAGTACCTTCTAACCTTGTCAAGGCGTGAAGTCCCTGTTAGGAGGGAGGTGAATGGAATGACACTCTCACTTAAACCATTGCATTGTTAAGCTAGTCATTCAAGAAAAGTAAGGGTTTGGCCAAGATGGCGGGTGCTCACATCTGTATTCTGCGTGCTTCCTGGAGAGGCTGTGAGCCAGAGGCCCTTGAGCAGCACTGGAGCAGAAGCGAGAAAACGGTCCTCCGTCTGTAAAAAATTGGACAGAATTAGCTAGGCGTAGGCTGCTGTGCTGCTTTGATAGGTCCCGCTTACTCGGGAGGGCTGAGGCAGTCAGAGGGACTTGCTCAAGCCCGAGAGAGTTTTCGAGGTTGCAGCGAGGCTGTGATCACTCGCACTGTATCCCCAGTTCCCCTGCCCCACGTTGCCTGCAAGGGCTCTGCCTGCTTTCAGACTCGGTGCTCTGGTCACCTCGGGCTCCCGAGATTCATGCACCTGCGTCGCGTGCATGTTTGTCAAATGCCCTTCGTGGCATTCACTGAAGTCACGTGCCGTACCGGCCGGTTACATGCACTGGCTCCTCTAGAGTTTGCACGCTGACTGTCACCTTTGGTGGGTCAGATGTCCCTACTGTGCACACAGCACAGACGACCCCTGTAGCCCTGGTCAACACGTTAAGTTTGCCATTGTGTCTGTCTCCCTTACTAGTCTCCTTGCCAGGAGGGCAAGGGTCCCTTCTGTGCTCACACATGTCCGTAGTGTTACCAAATGTTCTATGGCAGCCTGAGGAGGAAAGGGGGCTGGGGCTTAGAGGCAGAGGTGATGGGATTCATGGCGGTAGGATAGGGGCCGAATCCTAGCACTCTGGGAGGCCAAGGAGGGAGGATCGATCAAGGTCAGGAGTTTGAGACTAGCCTGAGCAAGAGAGAGACCCTGTCTACTAAAATAGAAATTATCTGGACAACTAAAAATACAGAGAAAAAAATTAGCCAGGCATGGTGACGCACACCTGTAGTCCCGGCTACTAGGGAGGCTGAGGCAGGAGGATCACTTGAGCCCAGGAGTTTGAGGTTGCTGTGAGCTAGGCTGACGCCACGGCACACACTCTAGCCTGGGCAACAGACTGAGACTCTGTCTCAAAATAAATAAATAAAATAAGAGAGGGGCTGAATGAATCTTATTACACCGTTAGTACCCTTGGGCTATTGTGAAGTATGGTGTTTCCTTCCTGGGGCGGGTATAATAGTTGATGCTATCCTTTATCCCTTTACTCTGCTTGGTGTCTTCAGTGTGGAGGGTAGGGGAGGCCAGCGCGGGCGATCGGGGAGCTGCCCACGGAACATGGGACGGACACGGTGCTATTAGTCCTGCTGGGTCTGTGACCCTTTACCTTTAGCCTTTGACATTGGAGGCGGGAAGCTTGGATTTAATTGGTTTTTGTTACTTTTACGAAACAAAATACCAACCATCCCATGCAAGTTATCCTTTTATGATGTGGGCCGTTCATCCGTCTGCGTTTTTTTTTTTCTGTTTTGTTTTCTTTTGAGACAGTCTCACTCTGTTGCCAAGGCTAGAGTGCCGTGGCGTCAGCCTAGCTCACAGCAACCTCAGACCCCTGGGCTCAAGCAATCCTCCTGCCTCAGCCTCCCAAGTAGCTGGGACTACAGGCGTGCACCACCATGCCAGCTAATTTTTTTCTGTATATATTAGTTGGCCAATTAATTTCTTTCTATTTAGAGTAGAGACGGGGGTCTAGGGGGCTCGCTCTTTGCTTTTTTTCAGGCCTGTTTCGACTCTGACCTTGGGCTATCTGCCCACCTCGGCCTACTGGAGTGCTAGGATGACAGGCGTGAGCCACCGCTGGGCCAGTATCATTTTTACAGATTTTGGCAGCAGGACTGGGTGCCCAGAGACCCTCACCTGCCATGTTCCCTCCACTTTCTGGGATGTGGAGGGTCACACCAGAGCTACTGTTTTTCCCTCCAACAGATCCTCAGCAGGTGCATCAACTCAGGGACAGTGACAGCGATGCCAGGCACCAGCTCGGTCCACACGTTTGCTGCTTTTTAAAAAATTTTTATTTTATTTTTTATTTGAGACAGAGTCTCGCTCTGTTGCCCGGGCTAGAGTGAGTGCCGTGGCGTCAGCCTCGATCACAGCAACCTCAAACTCCTGGGCTCAAGCGATCCTCCTGCCTCAGCCTCCCGAGTAGCTGGGACTACAGGCATGTGCCACCATGCCCGGCTCATTTTTTCTATGTATATTAGTTGTCCGGCTAATTTCTTTCTATTTATAGTAGAGACAGGGTCTCGCTCTTGCTCGGGCTGGTCTTGAACTCCTGAGCTCAAAAGATCCACCTGCCTCGGCCTCCCGAAATGCTAGGCAGGAACAATACCTTTATGCAGACAGATGGGAGCCTGGCTGGCAGTGTGAACCACGGGGCCATTTGGGTGAGTACATTTGCTTTTTGGCATCCTCCCCTCCCCCCACTCGGCATTTCTTCCTTAAAGTGAAAAAGTCA